TGGGGGGGGGGGGAGGATTAACCTCTGGGGAGACTGGGAAAAGGGGGTGGGAGAGAAGAAGAGAGAGGGTGGGAGAGGGGACGGGGAAACCTGGGAGGAGGGAGCTGGAAGGGGGAAGCCAGGGAAAGAAGGAGGAGGGGATGTATAAAACTATGGTACGCCATATCTTCAGTACTGTGTACAGATATGGTCTCCTCACCTCAAAAAAGATATTTTGGCCTTGGAAAGGGTTCAGAAAAGGGCAACTACAATGATTAGGGGTTTGGAACAGGTTCCATATGAAGAGAAGATAAAGAGACTGGGACTTTTCAGCTTAGAAAAGAGGAGACGGAGGGGGGATATGATAGAGGTCTATAAAATCATGAATGTGGAGAGGGTGAATAAAGAAAAGTTCTTCATTAGTTCCCATAATAGAAGGACTAGAGGACACCAAATGAAATGAATGGGTTTAAAACTAATAACAGAAAGTTCTTCTTCACACAGCATATAGTCAACCTGTGGAACTCCTTGCTACAGGAGACTGTGAAGGCTAGAACTATAACAGAGTTTAAAGAGAAGTTAGATACTTTCATGGAAATTGGGTCCATGGAGTGCTATTAGCCAGGTGGTAGGAACGGTGTCCCTGGCCTCTGTTTGTCGAAGGCTGGAGATGGATAGCACAACACAAATCGTTTGGTCACAGTCTTCGGTACATCCCCTCTGGGGTTCCTGGTGTCAGCCGCTGTTGGCAGACAGGCTACTGAGCTAGATGGATCTTTGGTCTGACCCAGTACGGCCATTCTTATGTTCTTATGTTCTAAGCTCAGGGCTCAGGGTCGGGGGTCTCACAGGACCAACTTGGTTTTCATGCAAACCTGCTACTGGGTTCACATGTGGCCTTTGGTGTCCAGGCTGGCAGCTATCCTGCCCTAGATGGTTGCATTCCTGTGCTTAGTGTGGAGGTCGTGGACATTGGAGGCCTCCCCCCAAACCTCGATGAGGTCCACGATCTCCGCACTAGACCAGGAGGGCGCCCGCCTCTTGCGGCCCCGGGCAGGCTCCTGGGAAGAGGCGGAGGGCTAAGCAGCAGTGGGTGGCAAGCTCATGCCGTGCCAGGTGGAGGATCTGCTGGCTGGGTGCTGGCAGGCTTGCAACTGGCACAAGCAATGTAGCCAGACCGTGCCCCTTTAAGGGCTCCAGGGCCGGGAGGAGGGCAGAAAAGTTTCCCTTGTTTGGCCCAGAGTGGCCACCAGGGCAAGCTCGGGAGGGCTAGCCTCCAACTAGTTCAAATTAAGTGGCTACACAGCCCTTAATTCAAACCTGCTACTGGGTTCACACATAACCCAAACTACTTAATTCGAACTAGGCGTTAGTCCTCGTAGAATGAGGTTTACCTAGTTTGAATTAAGCGCTCCGCTAGTTTGAATTAAGTTCGAACTAGAGGTTTGCATGTATAGACGCTATGAAAGTTAATTTGAACTAACGGCTGTTAGTTCGAATTAACTTTGTAGTGTAGACATACCCTAAGGTACTACTAGACTATTTGTTGTTTTTTAAGTTTTTCCTGTTATAGACTAACTCGGCTACCCCTCTGAAGCTAAGGTAAGCAAGTCATTCACAGTTTCACCTTAAAGGCACTTTACCTGAAAGTTAGATTTTAATAGATCTAGATATGATTGTACACCACTGAAACCAGGAGGATAATAAGACACTTCAATTGCCTTGCTCATCTTTGGGGATTTTGTACCTCATATACAACAACAAAGCTCGGAAGTGCATTTCTTAATGGCTGCTGAGCTTTACACATAAGTTTGGCGCTTTATTCTCTGTGGGATATGGCACTATGTGTGCAGCAGATTGTATTTTGACAGATGCAGCTGTCCCATAAAAAGTCCCTTAGCATTATTAGCACCAGTAGTTCATATACATCCATGAGCTTTAGGATATCATAAAAGAACAATTAAAATGTTTTTGAGAGTAAAAAATGCCCCCAAGTCACTTACCTCCCCTATGCCTGTCTGCAGAATTTTCAGTCCAGTAGCTTTTTCAAGCTTGTATTTGTTGGCATCTGTTAGGAAAATTAAGATACAGAGAGTTAAGGGAAAGCTGGGATTTGGATGAGTCTGCAGCATTCATGATATAACCAAGCTTTTTATCCCCTTGCCAATGGATACAATACAATTCCTGTTTATCTCATTTATCTATGGACTATGTTTCACTCATAGCGACACTACTATTGAGCATTTGTGTCATTAATCTTTTATCATTATCCGAAAGAGAAAGAGCAAAACCAGATGTGTTTTCTTCAATACGCTATACCCCCTTTAGTTTAAAAGTGATGGAAAGGGACAATATAAATAAATCATACCCAATTCTACAAAGGGGAAGGATTAAAATTAATGGAGTCTGGACCAATGAAATCTCTGGAATCCACACTCCCTGTCCCCCCCAAAAAAGACATTGGAGGATGTCACATAAGACGGATTCATCCTCTTATTTTTTAACAGACTTTTTTCTAGTACAGTCCCTCTGCCCCAGACACTTTCCCCCCTCGTTGAGTACCAGTCCTTATGACTGACCAGTCCTGACTTTCTTTTCCTGCCACAGCAGAAAGTCCTAATCTTCTCCCTCTATTAGCCTCCTCGTGTGTCCCAAACACACTCCCATGTGAGCAATGTTTTATTATTACATTATTCATTCCTACAGTTGTGAATAACTTATAAGAAATTACCTCTGCCTTGCAGATAAGGTAACTAAATAAATTGCACGAAACCCTATTTTAATGAAGTCAGTCAGAATTTAATTGAGATTTTTTTCCCATTTAACACTTTCCATACAGGAGGCATTCAAAACAAACAAACAAAAGTCAAGCACAAAATCAAATGAGTCACTGAAGCATATCACAAAAGTCTGTCTAAATACAGTAAATCCACAGAGACATAATGAAGTAAGTGCCTAAAATGGTTAACCCTTTCAGAAACGAACATTTTAAGTGCTGTAGTTACAAAATATGGCATTTCACATTACATAAAACTATTTTTGGGGACAATATTTAGTGACTTTATTTGGTCAGGGTCAGATGTTGGGTGATCAGGTGTCTAGATTCCTTTCGGAACGCCCAGTCAAAAAGAGATCCTGGCAGCCCTGGTCAATACTGCCAAGCAGGTGTGAACTCACAGGGCCATGGATGAACAGGAATATGGATTCACTTCAACAGAAGAGTTGATTAGGGTATGTCTACACTAGCCCCCTCGTTCGAACTAGGGAGGCTAATGTAAGCATTCGAAGTTGCAAATGAAGCCCGGGATTTAAATATCCTGGGCTTCATTTGCATCTTCCCGGGTGCCGCCATTTTTAAATGTCCCTTAGTCCGAACGCCGTGCCCGCAACTACATGCGGCATGGAGTAGGTAGTTCGAATTAGGATCTCTAATTCGAACTACTGGTACGCCGCGGGCACGGAGTTTGGACTAAGGGACATTTAAAAATGGCGGTGCCCAGGAACACTCAATTTGCTGGACTGGGCCCTAAAATGTAGAGAAATTAAATACATTGGATTAAATACTGCTATCTACTGTTTATATAATGCTTTATACTTGTAAGTGTTCTAGCCACATTAATTGATGTACTTACCTTCACTATGCCGGAAGGAGTTAGTTAAGTAAATTAAGTTAGTTAAAGGAGTAAAGTTAAGTCAAGACAGGCAGGGTCATGCCCACAACTATGCAGAGGATTAGTGCTTGAACCACCTGGCTTAGGATTCTAGACTTCTTAAGCTTGATTTTCAAACTGCAGGCCTGCACACATTGATATTCTTTTCATTAAGGTATTTGCTTATGTACCCAGGCCTATACACAGGGTGTGTGTGAAGGGAGCAAATATTTCATGGTCCCCCAAGTAAGCATGGTCCAGCTGGCCAGGGACAGGCAGGGGTCCAAACCTCCATCCTCCATGCTTCGGCCAGCTGGGGTACGGCTGGGACTGATTTTCCCCCTCCCCGAAGAGCGAGGTCAGGACTCCGGGGGGTTCTGGTGGGCAGGGGCGCTGGCCTGGCCCAGTCCTCCTCTGCACAGAACAAAGTTCAGTACACATGCTTCCAGTGGGGGAGGTGGCGGCAGTTGCTGCTCCATGGGGGGGCTCCTGGGGCTCTCCGCCAGCCCCTCGCTCCCCCGCAGGAGGGTCGGGATGGCAGCAGCTCCTCGCTGTGCTCCGGGCTCCCTGGGGGAAGTGGCTCCAGGTCCCTGCTCTGACACCTGCTGTTGGGCTCCTGAGGCCCAACAGCCTCCTTCCGTGTGTCCTGGGTTTCACCGGCAGGCAGCACCATCTTGGCGTGGGGCAGCTGGAGGGCACTCAGGGAGTTCTGCTGCTCCTCCATCCCCGCCACCTCTGGCCTCACTTCTGCTGCTGGGTCCCGGGCCCCGCCACTCCGCAACCCAGCAGTCCTCGCCACGGACGTACAGGTCAACGCTGCCCAAGGGCCTCACCAGGCTCTTAACCCATCCCGCCACTCCTGTGACCACCACAGAGTCCCCGAACTGAGGTGGACAGCTGGGCTCCGATCACCCAGCTCTCCCTGCCTCAGTGCAGCCCCCCAGGAGCCACACCAGGCCTCCCGGCCCCATCACGTTTCCTTCCTGGACTGGGCTTAGTCACATCCATTTCTGCCTACATGCCAGAGTCACCCACCCTCACTCAGCTCTCGTACAGTCCTCACATACACGTAGCTTCACCCCCCCCACCTGCCTGTCTCACACTCCCATCTGTGCCTGATCCTCCCTCACACACACCCTTCTTCCCTCCCACACCTTAATGCTACTCTTCTTTCTCCCACCTCTCTCTTTCCTGCAATTAACTAGAGTGACCAGATTGCAAGTATGAAAAACTGCAACTTTCAGGGGGATAAAAAGTAAATATATACAAGACAGTCTCAATGATTTTTATTTACCCCTGTATCCTGCCACATGCGAACATATACATACTTTTGCCTACATCTTAACCTGGAACACCTCTCTCACACACACCTTTACACACCCTTTAACATTGCCCCTCTCACATAGCTACTCTCCTCTTAACTCTACTCCCCATGCCACACTGCCCCTCTCTCTCTCTCTCTCTCTCTGTCTCTCTCTCTCACACACACACACACTGCCCCCCCTTTCTTTCTCTCTCTCTCTCTCTCTCTCTCTCTCACACACACACAGGCTAGCTTCCCTGGCTGCCCGCCACATACTAAAAATATAGCAGGAGCATACTATAGGTTGGGGCTGGGCCTTGACCCTGGGGGAGGGGAAGGAAATCAGCCCCAGCCTTCCCCTGGCCAGAAGCACACTTACTTGGGGGACCATAGGTCCACATTTCCAAAAGGGCACACTCTTCCCCCCCTTCCTCCCCTGGAAATTCCTGCATACGGGCTTGGTTCTGGACATAGACATAGACAGGTAAGTGGCCACCTCGCATGCATTTGCACACATATTTGAGACTTGCACATTATCAATGCAGTTTCACAAAAGCATGTATAAGGTGGGGAACTGCTTGAGGGGAATGGTAATTTGAGCTTTTGAATTGCTAGGTTTGTGGATAGTGTGTGATATTGAACTGAACTGCTGCACAGTAGTTACATTAGGGTATTAATTTTCTTGAATTCTTGAGTTATTTCAAGGGTGCCTACAGTGTATTGTATAAATCTAAATAAATCACTCAATCAATCATTGTAATCAACCTCTGCTTTCCAGCCATGTGCTCATTCCCCTGCACCACGCTGCCTCCCACCTACACATCCATTTATAGCATGCACATTCGACACATTTTTATGCCAAATACAATAACTGAGAAGAAGCTTAATAAAAATAGAAAACTCCACAGGCTGAGTCAGAGAATGCTTTGTTCTTCACTGCTTGTAGATGATAAATAAGATGACACAATATAGCAGAAATCAAGTAAACACAGTACAGGTGAAAAAATATAAAATTTCATATGGTTCTATATGATTTCCACAGTTAATAAGAAAATGTTGGGCCTGTTATATTTACTACAGGAAGTAATTTAGTGATTTTTCTTATTTCTTCCCTAGCCTCACTGTCACTGTTGTCATTTTACTTATAATAAAGCCTACTTTAAAACCTCCTTTACAGAATAATTGCCAGTTGATATAGGCCAAAACATAAAAATGTTTACATTATCCCCATTCAACTCAGTAAACCCCATCTCCAATATGGCCAAACTCAGGCTTTGGCAGAATGCAGGAGAGGGCCCTCAGCAGAACCTTCTGATGTTCAATTCTGGACATGCACAGAAGGAGTATTTCAGCTAACCTTAAATCCGACAGCGGGACACAAAAGGAGAGGTGGTCTTGGAAACAGGGGCCGCAGGCTATCTAGTGTGTTATAGATTTTCTATAGTATCTTGCTTTGAACTCAGAATTGAGCAGGAAGCTAGCGAAAAGATCAGACAGTAAGTATTTTATGCTCAGTATGTACAAACACACCTCAATACTGGGTTTTACAATTGCTAAAAATCAAGATGCTATTTAAGTTTCCTGTGCCTAAATTTTTAGACAATTTTCTATTTCTTAGGAGTTCAGCAACCAAATGCCAAAGGCAAAAAATTCCCTTAGAGCTGTGAATATAAATTTCATTTGTCCATGCCATCAGGTACAAAGACACCTAAATCTTCATCTTGCATCCCTTGTGCATTCATAAAAGCTAATTAGAATTGTGTGGACACAACAGTCTGAATTCAGAAGAGTTTTTGAATGACCAAATCGTCAGGTTTATGTAAGAAGAAATTCACAGCACAATTAAAACCTAAAAATAGTGAAATTACCGTTTTTACATACACAGATACATATGTAAAAATGTAATGTTCAGTTGTAGTTAGTATTATATTAGGACATTTTGAACATGAAAAGTATTTTATAGGGTCTAAGCATATTAAAGTTACCAAGTAGTTCTTGTTTTATTATTTATACTTCTCAATAACAATTTTAAAAATTCAGACCATAATCTTCAGATATAAACACCTAAAGTTTGACACCGTATTTAGGCACCTAAATAAAAATGACCTGATTTTT